ATAGAGCTTCTTCATTGGAAGGAGGATAGAAGTATACCTCGAGACCAGCTGTTGAAATTAATAAATATCGTTTATATATTTTTTAATTAATCGGTAAAACTTCTACGATCTGTGATCCGGGTCATCCGTTTTGACCCGGGTGGCCCGGTTTCAGGGACACGTAAAAATTCGGATTTTATTTATATCGATATGACCTATAAATAAAATCCGGTTTAATACGTGACAATCAACCTAAAATGGACAATGACCACGATTTCGCGTCAAGTGGATTTTTTTCACGCGCACTCCCACATTGCCAAACATTTTCTATATAAACCCTCACCCTTCAGCATCTATTCAAGCAAAATTTTTCGGGTTTGCATTATTAGGCTATGATAGTATATAAACGGTGTTTATTTCTGTATTTAGCCAAATAATGTACTCTACCCAAGCAAATGTCTGGTTGTTTTAGCTGTCAATTTTATGCAGACCGGTAACATTCTTGTTTACCGTAAGGCCTCTAGTTGACTCTTAAATGATTATTTTAGGGCGTTAGTTATTAAGCAGACCGGTAGTATTCGTACGCACTGGGCCTCATAATGCTTAATGGCTAATGGACATTTACTGCTGGTGGTAAAGCTCGTTTAATTTTTATTTTTTTTGGAGGCTAGTAGATTTTTACAGTCTTCTTTTTTTTTTTATATTTGCAAATAGCGGGTGGGGGTTAAGTGGTGGTAATAAAAACAACTTTTTACGTTATGCTAAAATTAGCGAGATATTTCTAGTTTTTTTTATCGCGTTAATTATTAGTATGACACATAATAAAATCCGAAGAAAATTTTGCTTGCGGAATGAGGTTCAATCTGTGTACCGCAGATTCCGCATATAGATTTTAAACATTGATTACATTCATATATTTTCAACAGCCTAAATTGTCTACAAGCACGAAAAAAGTTTTTTAAGCCTGTATTTTGTTCGTAGTGTCAACATTTGTTTCTTCAAGAACTCTCGGATCACCAAGAAACCCTCTCAAAATCGTTTATACCTTTTTGACATCTGTTTCTCCTGAACATATCTAACACAACCCATCGCTTGACGAAACGATATAGGTACATAATAAAGATAAAAAAAGGGTAATTCCGATGACGAACCTGGTTATATTATGAATTATTATGAATTATTATGAATTATTATGAATTATTATGAATTATTATGAATTATTATGAATTATTATGAATATAGTATAAGAACTGTACTGTCAAATCTATCAAATTTCAATCAAATATAGGCTTATGGTACATAATAAAAAAATTTTTTAACATTGCGAAGACTATATATATACTCACGTGCTCATGTAACGTGATAATCTTAAGTACTGAGGCTGAGTTAGGGCAATTGTTTGCAAACAAAAAAAACAAAAATCTAATGTTTACTGCATGATTCCTTTGAATGTATGAACTTGTACGTATATACAGTATGTACAGTATGTACCAAGGCAAAGGAAACTCGCGTTAATTACACGGTTGGCGCTCTAGCCATTTTATTCAAGTTAAATTTGTATAAATTAAGCAATTAGATATTATAAGTAAAATTTTATCAGTTATGTATGTACGTACGTACATTACCGTGGGCGAAAAAAAAAAAATTCCTTTAAAGTGTTACTTTTTTGCCGGTTGTAAAAGATTTCCTATCAGATTGGCGCAAACGATGATCAAACCAATTTTTAGTAATTGCCCAACTGATTATATATTCCAAAATAAAAAGGGCAATTAAAAATTCAGTTTTATTTGAATGTATAATCATTCCCGTTTTTTTTACAGGTTAAAAGTTATAGAGAGATATTGTATCGTTGAAATATCTTTTTTTGAAAATAAAAACCTATGAAGTTTGGTAGTCAATTAAGAGCAGCCTTATATGACGAATGGGCTGAGAATTATGTTGATTATGACGGACTGAAGAAACTTCTTAAGCGTGGAATTAATAAAGAAGGTGGTTATGGCGGAAAAGACGAAACTGAATTTACAGGAAAGTTAGATAAAGAGCTTGAAAAGGTTAGTTTTGAACCAAGAATAACGTGAATTATAATACTGTGAGAAAATGCTTTCGTTAGTATAGTCACGGTATATCACTTGTCATTTTACGCGTTAGACGTTCAATAGACGTTCAATAGACGTTCAATGAATAATTATTTGATGCACCGTTAACTTTAATAGGTCTATGCTTTTCAAAATGCTAAATATGAAGAGATCAAGAATAAAGTTCAACGCTGTGAAGACACTGTTAACTTAATAAGCAAAGATTCATCATCAAATGCGAAGGAACGTTATATGGAAGTAGAACGCCAAATTAATGACATTACCGAGGAATTGAACGAATTAGCAAAGTATAAAAGATTAAATTATACAGGAATCATGAAAATTATAAAGAAACATAACAGGTAATAAGCACATCAATACAAGTTTAACCTTTTTTTTTTTTTTTAGTAAATTTAGTAAATTTTATCTAATACAAAACGTATGCATTTTGTTATTTTTTAGGCGAACAAAATTTGATCTTACTCCATTGTTTAGCGTTCGATTAGAATCTTGCCCCTTTTATAAAGAAACCTTTGAACCTATCGTTATAAATCTTTCCCAACTTTATCATACAGTGCATCAAGGACTTGGTTCCGATCAAAGTTCAACTCCATTAAATCTTTCTTCTATTAATGCGACCGCCTTGCCATCCCGAGAAAGACATTTGCATCAATCTCGTAAATATTGGATTCATCCTGATAACGTCATGGAAGTTAAAACCACTATTTTGCGTCACCTTCCGGTTTTAATATATAAACCGGGTTCTGATCCCTCCATTACATCATTATATTTTGATAACGAGGCTTTTGAACTTTACCAAGATAAAGTTGATCGTAAGCCTGGAGATCAAATCATCAGATTACGTTGGTATGGTAAAAAAGAATCGACACATGAAATATTTGTTGAAAGAAAAGTTCGAGAACAGGGGGAAGAAGAAGTTAAAGATCGATTTTTAATTAAAGAAAAATATGTTGACGAATTCTTAAAAGGAACTTATTCCATGGATAAGACAATCAAAAAAATGAAAGAAAATCCTGGCAAGACTGAAGAGGATATAAAAAATTTTCAAACATTGGTTAAAGATATTCAGGATACTATTAATGATAAGAATTTGCAGCCAGGTAATTTCTTAATACTATAGTTTATATTTGTTTTTAAATTTATTTAATTGTTAAATATATATATATATATATATTATCTACAGTCCTTCGTACTTACTACAATCGTATGGCTTTTCAAATTCCACGCGACGATCGTGTCAGAATTTCACTTGACACCGAATTCTATATTATTCGTGAAGATAATTTTGATGTAAAACGTCGTCTGCTCGATTCTTGGCGTCGATTGGATATTGACGATGCTAATTTCGGAAAATTGTCGCCATCGGAATGTACTAAATTTCCTTACGCTATTTTAGAGATCAAACTCAATTTGGACGGTGAACAAGAACCAAACTGGGTCAAAGAATTAGTTAAAAATGGTCTGGTAAGTCTTTTACGACAATAATTATACTTAATACCATATCATTAAAAAAAATTTTTTGGGGGATTCAGATTGAAGAAGCTCCACAATTTTCCAAATATGTTCATGGTGTTGCAACTTTATTCACTTCTCAAGCGCCCTCTCTACCATATTGGGTAAGTTCTGTAGTCAATTTTCATATTTTGAATTTCTAAAATAATAAAATAAATTAATTTGAAATGATTTTAGTTGCCCAATATCGACAAAGACATTCTTAAGCCAAGTGTACGTCAAACATCTGAAGGTCTCGATGAAGATTATGAGGAAGGGTCATCATCCGCATTATATGGTATTAGTCAAGAAAACTCAAACCGTCCAGGAAAAAATATAATTGATATCGATTCCGGAGATAGGAGGGATAAAGGAAAAGCTGTTGAAGTTTACAAAAACGATGATGATGATGATCAATATGATGAAACTGCTCCATTATTAGAACATGATGATGAGGATGAAGATATACGTGAAAACAAGCCTATTGGTCTTAAAACTTTTAGAAAAATCTTTAGAAGGCGTATTCGTTCAAGACCGGATAGATCAATTATACCTTTTAATGTTAAAGAACCAGAGAAAATTGTGGGAGTTGTAAAAGTGGAGGCAAAAGTGTTTTTCGCTAATGAAAGAACGTTCTTTTCATGGATGAGATTTAGCATTCTACTAAGTACTTTTGCTTTAGCATTATTTAATGCAGCCGCTGCAGATAATGATCTTGGAATGCGATGTGCTATGGCTTATACAGCAATAGGTATTACCACTTTGGTATACTCACTTTACAGTTACAATAGAAGACTCAGTATGATCAACGCTAAAAATCCGGGTCCTTATGGTAAGTTTTTTTTTTTCTTTTGTTGACAAATAATTTTGGGCTAAGAATGTAACTTTTTTGTTTTTAGACGATGTTGTAGCGCCAATTTTTGTATGCAGTTCTTTAATCATTGCTTCTGGATTAAATTTTTATTTAAAACTTCATCCCACATTGATTGAAGGAAGTCATAATGATAGCACGATTAATATAAAATAATTGAGACATCATTTGTATTTATGTAAAAAAATTTTGTACTTTTTTCTTTTAAAGTTGAACTTCTGAATGCAAATAAGCAACGTATCAGTTTTTTTAAATAAGTGTAATTTCAAGGTTGGGTTTTATTTGTTATAAATTGCTATCAGATATAATTTTTGGGATTAAATTTAATTTCTGGGTTAAATACAAATAAGCTATATTGTAAAACTGATATTTGCAAAATTTAATTCTTTTTATTTAAAATTTTTAAAATTGCATATTTTAAACTATAAATGATTTAAATTTTTTTATAATATAAATTAAATTAATTATTTCTTAATTTTCCACGGCTCCTAATGTTCGCTCGTAAACATTTCTGATGATATATATTTTTATGAAAATCGAATTGATTAGTCGTGAAACCAAAATTCAACAAATCGACCAAGATTTATAGGCCGAAGCTAGGCCGGCATTAAGCAATAATACCAGTCAACTATATTATGGCAAATTTAACATTTGGAAAATTTTACTTAGTATATAGGCAACCGCTTTACTTTGGTGTTATAGGAAAGTTTTATCAATCCAACCCTGAATTTTAGCCCTGCTAAATTTGATCTATTCAATCCATTCATGAAGTTCCCAAAAATTCTGGGTCGAAATGCATTAGAATCCCGGTTGGATGAGCCGGAATTGATCAAATTTGCCCAAGATTATTAAAAAAATACCTAGCTAATTGTGTTATAGGCTTAAAATGATCTGTAAAAAAAAATTTTATCTGAAATGTTAGGAGTATAGGTATTATGGCGCAGCACCAATTGCCGCATAGGATTGTTAACTTACATGTATTTTACTCGTAAGTTATTCAAGCTCAACCAGAGATGAAATTATGAAATTTATTTTAGGGAACGCTATTTATTACATAATTTTAGCACGGGTCAATTAGATGTTTTTCGAATCAGGCTTTTTTACAATTAAGAATCAGTTTTAAAAATTTCATCTTTAATAACATAACATTATCATACGAGGATAAAAAAATCGACACGGTAGTATGCATATAAATCTGTGAATGAATCAAATATCTTAGGTGTTTTGGGGTGACTATCGCGGCCCTTAATGCTGGCTAATTTCAGAAAACATAAAAGTACCAGATTTACAGCAAACTTACACAAAATTACGTAGGGTCAATGTAAGTTACGTTGTCAGGTAAGTTATTAACTTACTATGTAAAGTATGTTGTCAAGTAAGCTTTAACAACCCAACTGCCGCACCAAATTGTCACGGCTAGGGTTGTATAACCTACTGTAAGTTATTTTTAAAATGTAAGTTACCATATAAGGTAAGTTATATATAATAATAATAATAATAATTTCATCTTAATCTGGCTAAATTTATTCTGGTCGGCGTTAATACAAAGCCGGCCTGCTTTACTATGATATATTTTGTAACTTACATAGGGTCATGTAACTTACATTGTTAGGTAAGTTATTAAGGCAAATTCTCGATTTTTATAGCTGACGGCCGTGATCTACAAAATTTTGGCCCGTATTACTAATTTTCGGCCGGAATTAACCTTTTAATTTTTTTCATTTCACACTATGGTAACAAATTGGTCCAGGAATAATAATTACAACCTAATTTTTGATTGTCGTGCTTAGCCAACCAATTTCGGGGTTAATAAATGGCGCACCTACAATATTTAGCAATCCAGTGATTAGAATTGCTACCAATTGATTCGTCTTTACGAGTCGAAAGGCGATAAAATCACGCACTAATCACTGGATCTCGAGATGTTGCAGATGTGCTACAATTAAGGTTTTCGGATTATCCTAAAATAAAAAGATTTGTTTGGATGTTCTAGATTGTCCTATATTTTTACTAATGTGAAAGTACTAACGATTGACGGAAATAAACTTTTGGAACACACTTTGCTTCAAGCTGCATATCTACAACGTAGTTTACTATATTTCAGTCATGGGTGATGGTGGAATAAATATTGGTCATGAATATAAAGGTGTAATGATGCGACCCAAACTATTTGGGACGTCCCAAACCATGTGATAATTAGCATCACATAGTTTCGGCAATAAGAATAAAGACAGCCGAATAGTTTGGGTCGCATCACTAATCGGGTGTTATATAGTGGTGTGAGCGCAATGCCGTAATTGTCGTAATTGCTGAATTGTTTTTACAAAAACTTAATTATATCGTGATCCAATAATCCAAATTGGATGAATTTGATATCATTCGAGTCGTCTCAACGAGATGAATCGGATGGTACCAAAACCATCCAATTCGAATCACTGGATCACAAGTTATTTGCAAATAATGATTCAATGAATTACGGCAAATGTGCCGTAATTCTGCCGTAATTTATTAAATAGTTTTTCGAGAATATATTGCGATCCAGTGGTTCGAATTGAATTATTTGGGTACCATTCGATTCGTCACATCGAGACGACTCGAATGATATCAAATTCATCCAATTTGGATTATTGGAACACGATATAATTTAGTTTTTGTAAAAACAATTATGACCAATTACGGCATTGCGCTCACACCACTATAATAACACAAAGCGTTCAAATATTATCAAAATCTGATAGTAGTTTAATTTTAAACTTTAACAAAGATAACATATAATTAATAGTCATCTAACTTTAATTTGATTTTTATTTTAATTCGATATAAGAAATTAATAATAAGTCTTTCGCACATATTAAATTATAAAGTTGATTTAGAACCAAATTTAGGTTGGTACGATGTGAAGAACCAGGTATTGTACGTACGTACGGGGATATATGAGTCTTTGTCTTGAAAATAACCTTACGGCACTATGTAGATTTTATGAATAAAAATTAAAATCTAATAATCCAATTCAAATAATTTTTTTTTGTATTATAGAATTAACTAAGCTCTATAAAATAAAATAAAATGTTTATTTGAATTGGATTACTGGGTATATAGCTAGAAATTTTAATTTTTATTCATAAAATCTACATAGTCCCGTAAGGTCATTTTCAAGGCAAAGACCCCCATATTATATTAATAAAATTAGTCAATCAATATGCGTAGTTATATTTCCAAGAAACAGTTTGTAAGGATAGTGAATAATACCCGAATCTTAAGCAGTGGCCAATGACCATTGATCTCTGATTCGTCGCTTCCTAAATCGAGACCATTTTACATAACTGTTGTGAAAAAAATAATTACTGATCGCCTATGACAGTGATTATTTCACTTAATCCGATTTAAGGTTTGAAATGATACTTTGAATTCATTATACATCAAAGAAAGAATAAATACGATATAATTATATTTTGTATAATTTAATTGTAAGGATTTAATTTTATTCGCTTTAACTTTAATAGTAGTGATTATTGATTGCTGTGTCAATAAGGAGATAAGTAGAATTCTCTATTTTCAGATGCATAGCTTTATTTTAGAAGCTATCCTAAATTATTTGTCCGAAAATCTTAAAATCCGAAAAAAAACTACCTGCCAACTTTAGCTACAATACCAAGATACCCTTTTAACTGAGACGAATCAAATGGTATATAAATCATTAGATTTGATTAACTGCGCCACAATACCTATACTCGCCTTATTACAGTATTATGCAAGTATACATAAGTTTGAATGTTTTTATATGTTTGCATCAAATTCAAGTATGAGTTACACGAATTAAGGCTCCGGTTTAAACTTCATAAGTCGTGATCAAGTATCAATAAAACGAATCGAATGACACCCAATGTAACCTGTACACAAATATTAGCTTACAAACACTTTTTGCATACTGTTTATCGTTTTTATTCTTTTTTTTTTTTTTATTCGAAGAATCCCAGCAAAAGATATCATTATGTCACTAGCTATGACTCCCAATACTATCGCCTCTTCATCGATGAATAATGATGTTGAGAATCATTGGGAAACAGTGTACCAGAAGAAGGCACCTGATGCAGTGAGTTGGTATCGTCCACATCTTGAAACATCGTTGCGATTTATTGAACGAGCAATTCAAGGCCAAGACTTGTCTATTATTGAAGTGGGTGGTGGTCAATCAACTCTGGTCGATGATCTGCTTACACGGGGATACCAGAATGTTAGCGTTCTTGATATCTCGAAAACCGCGATCAATGGTACCCAAGGTCGGCTTGGCAAAGCGGCATCGAAGGTAAAGTGGCTTATAGCTGACATAACACAAGTAACATTCCCAGAAAATTATTATGACGTTTGGCATGATCGAGCAGTATTTCATTTTCTGACTACCCCTGAAAAACGTGCAGCCTATGTGAGGCAACTGACCCTCGCCACGAAATTAGGTGGCCATGTGATTATATCTACATTTGGGCTGCAAGGGCCGGAGAAGTGCAGCGGTCTTGAAGTGGTTAGGTATGACGTTGAATCGCTATGCAAGCAAGTTGGAGAACAATTCCAATTAATTGAAAGTGTTACTGAAATTCACCAAACACCATTCGGCACAACGCAACAATTCCTGTATTGTTATTTCAAGGTCAGTTTATCATTTCATTCTTTTCAATTATTTCTCAATAACCATTTTTCACATGCTCTTTATTCATGTTTAATATAGTTATTAAATAAATAAATAAAAAAAAAACAACCAGTCAAAATAATTTCTGTTTTGAAAGTACAAATACATATATATTAAATATATCAAATATGTAATTTTTTTATTGGTTAATCAAATAAATTTAAACGTTTATTGTCGCAGATCATAATGAAATCGGATTAAAATGAAACTGGGGACCTTTCTTGCTCATCTTTAAAGCTTATAAAACCCACTTATACTCTTTTATTAATAAAACTAACTCTAAACCCTAACCCTAAAAAATGTCCCCCAAAAAATTTTAAAATTTCCTAAAAAAATAGAAAAAATTTCATTTTAATCCGATTTCATTTTAATCTGCCACATTTATTGTTAATAACATAACGAGCGTTTTTTTCTCATTATATAATAGTAAACTATTATAGGAACCTCCTGTCATTATAGAATATGCTGAGAAACGTATCAAGGTTGCCTTTTTTTAAAAATTCATTTTGAACCACTAGTCAACAAAAAACCTAATATGTATATTGCATTGAACATATAAATTTTGAACTCGATATGTCTTGACGCTAACGCTAATTGTGAAGTTCACAAACTCAAATAATCAGGTTAAAATGCATCAGTGCGTCTAATATAAAAGCTACTTTATTTCTTGTTTCTCACAACGGGTTCATCTAGTAGAGATTATGCACATGTGATTAATTATATTTCCGCTTACCAATAAATGTTGTAAACTTAATTGAAATTGGATAAAATCAGGTTTTAAAAATTTTTTTTCGTTATTTATATATATACATATATTTCCAGAAAATACATGCATGCACTCTCAACTCCTTAAGGGCAGTACATTTCGTGTAATGGGTCTCCCCAATGAATTCTTGGATTGAAAGTACGTATATATCTAAAATAATGTATCAACGCATTCCGCATAAAAAAACAATATGTATATGTACTGTATCAAATAAAAAAAAAAGTTACATATAATACGTAATATAATATAATTGATCAAAAGGAAATTATACAAAGCAACTTATTCCATATCCAATTCAATCTTCAATTTTAGTTTTTTTTCTGTAAAACTATAATTGTTTTTAAACTAATCTCTTAGATATTTTCTGTTGTCTACGACCAGTCGGAATCGCGAATTTTTTTATACTGTATAATATATATGTTGTAAGTGGAAATGGAATTTTAAGCTGATTTGGGATGGTATTAAGGTTAGAATTTGGGTGAGGATTATGAGGATCAGATTTTAGGTGTAGTTATATTCCAATCTAAGTGGATTCCATACCAATTTTAGTTCCATTCCCACTTACAACATATATTACATTGTAAGATCAGAAACCTCCTGATTTTTTTTTTGATGGGAAGATCTTTTGTATCGTTTATCAGCCTGCTTATATTTTAAACCGTAACATAATAATACGTAAAAATAATTGATTGACCCCGTTTGATTATTAACAATTTATTCTGTACGTATTAATCTGCTAAGAATGCTTAGTATTCCTTTTTTAAATTCTATTGTTTTGCCAAGTGATTAGAAACTGGCCGTCATGGGTAATCCATTTATCAATTAACAGTTACAATAATGGAAGATGACCGAAAGGATATTCCAAAACTTTTTTTATTATTATTCTAAAAATTGTTAAGCATTTTTACTCGAATTTCAAGAAACTTGTCAAAAAAAAAAGTTTATTATTTTGGTGAAAAGCTTTCGCTTTTTATAAAAATTATTATTTTTTTAAATATTAGACCTAATATATCATTTTTATTCAATCTAGTCGCTAAGGTCAGACCAACTTGAATTTCTGTTTAACATAAATAACTTGTAAGAGGGGATGGGGTATTAAAAAAAACACATTATATAAATTACAAAAAAGCTAATGCTGCAATTTTATTGGTTAATTTAATGAGCATTGATTCAATATATATTTTAGAAAATAGAAGGGGTTATTTAATATTATGGTATAGGTTCCTATAATGTTTGAAAAATTGAGAGGGTGAATAACGAATTTTTAATAATTTATATCGTTGGCTTAATAAAATTGATTTGTTTTTTGACTTTGACGCTATTTGACCAAAAAATGGATCATATCTTCGGATTTTGGTTATTACCCCAATTTGAAGTAGAAATTCCGATACTCAAAAGCTAATGTAGCAGTGTCATAATTCAAAGGTTTGGGTCACAACCCTAATTTTCATTGTTGTGTGAATTATTATTTCCATGGCCACCGCGATATCCTCGGTGCATGAAACGCCCGCGTCCGCGTCCTCGACCTCGACCTCGATGATATGATCGATTATCATAAAATTGATTAATCTTTAACGGATTCTCGCTTTCACCAAGCGGCTTTAATTGCAATAGTATTAAAAAAAAAAAAAAAAAAATCAGATTTAATATAAACCAATTTTTTATAAAACAATTTTTTTAAAATTACCTTTCCACTTAATGAAACTGCTTTTTTAATCGATGCATCATCCTGGAAATCCACATATGCGTGACTAAGTTGATTATTTGTAGCATGATCATACTTCAACCGAACTTTCTCAACCTATTATGAAAAAATATGAAAAAAATATTAAGATCTCATTTGTTCAAATTTACAAGTGTTTCAAATTACAAGACGCAATTATTGTAAATCACCTGACATTCAACCGATTCAAAATGTTCCTTTAAATCCTCTTCAGTTACAGGTGGTGTCAAATTACCGACATAAACTGTGAAAGTTTTTTTCTATAATCGATTAAAAACAGCTAAATAAGTATAGGTTTATCCTTTCTTTAATAACATATAACTAAACATATATATTACTTTATTACGACGATTGTGTTGATCGTGGTTCTGTTGTTGGGACTGATTATTATTACTATTATTATTATTGTCATTATTATTACTCAAATCATCATCATTATTTGTAACATTTTCGTCTTCTGGTGATTGGGAAGAATCATTTAAATCTGATTTTGTCCAACTAGATTCATTTTGTGTCTGATCAGCCCACGTCATCTGGGAAGTACCATTAATATGTTCTGAATTGGTTGAGTTGGTAATATCATTATTAATGTGGTCATTGTTGCCGCTACTACCAGTATCACTACCAAAGAAGTTTGGTGGACGTTCGGTATAATCTTGACCTAAAGGCTTTGATGATGACGACCAATCATTCGGTGCTGTCGAATCAACCGGTGGTTGTTTCCAATTGCTACCAAGATTAGGTGATGTTTCAGGTGATGTAGATCTTTGTGGAGTCAACACTGGGGATAGTCCACCATTTGATGGTTGAGGTGGAAGAGCAGGTGAAGGCTGAAATTGTGATTGCTGACGCCTAGTTCTATCCATAGCATATGGACTCGTAGGTGCACCGATTCCGGACGTTTGTGGACCACCAATATTTGGATTATTTAATTGCGTATTGTTTTTTCGATAAGCAAAGTTAAAGCCTTTATTATTCGTAATAGACAAAGTGCCAAAACAACGAAAATAATAAATAACAAATAACAAACAAACAATAAATAAATAAATAAATATAAACCTTGTGCTTTAGTTTCAGCGGATATTCTTCCTTCTTTAAAGTCCAATAGTACCCAACCAAAAGCAGCATCAGGTAAATTGAAATTCCACATGTTTCTAAAAGCTGGTTCTTCCTTTCCTTGAATTGGGACACGATCAACGACAGCAAAAGCATTAGATAATAATACTTTCTGCTGCTCGCTGAACATATCAAAAAATGATATAATATCATTGGCATTAAAAGAAATTTTGTAATTTCAAAGATTATTTGATGACTTACTCGATATAGCTTTCAACTTGAGTTTTAACTGAATCCCACATCGTGTAAAAACTTCTGCGAGAGGTTTCTAATTTAATACGGAATGCTTCTGGATCTCTTTGTACTGAAAACTCATTATACGAAATGCCATAACGAAAATGAAGTCCAGCTGAAATTGTAAAATCGACCTTTAAAAAATAAAAAATTTAACTTAGTCACTATGTGTTTTGAATGTTTATGTAATAATCGCGAATAACTTACACGCAAGACAACTGATAATTGTGTTAAAAGACCTTCACGACCAGGGCTAGCGTGAGTTACGAGAACCCTTGTTTCAGTTGGGTCATATACCTAACATATATCGGATTTTTAAGACAGTTAGTCTTTTTGACAGTTATTCTTAATAAATCACGGTGCTTACTTTTGTAGCAGTATCAACTAATTCACCAATTTGCAGAATTGTTGTCCACATAGTGCCATGACCACCAGCAATAGTAGCTACACCTTTTATTAAAATAAAAAAATTTTGTCCGTTATTATACAAACGTATTAGAAAAAACATACGGTCAAACCTGTACAAGTTTATACAGTATATATAATATACATGTATGACCCGTCTAAATGCATAAAGTTTCTTCGTATAAAAATACATGTACATGTATAAATTTGACCAATATATATATATGTAAATACGTAACCTGCCTAAGTGCATAGATTTTTCTTGGTCCAATAGTATACACTTATACAGGTTTAACAGCTCAGCAACAAAAGATAATTGCCGAACACGAAATACTAACCCTCCCCGTTGTCAAATAATTTATGTTGAACGACAGCACCACCTAAGCCAAATAACCGTAAACTAACTCCACCAATGTCAATGAGATGAGAATTAGCTTCGTCTAAAATAAATAAATTATGAACCCTGTATATTTTCTGTCTAAACTTCTCCAGTACAGAGACATCCTCGCAAGCACCCCATACGGTATAAACAGGAACTATAAGACGTTCTACTCCGTCTATAAAGAGAGGAAATTCAGATAGAAGAGGGCGATCAGATTCAAGTATAGTACGACGTAATTCTTGGAGAGATGTATTAGGATCGAGAAGTTTAGATCTTAAATCAGGTGGTATAATTGTACTATATTGCACAAGATGTCGTAATGTCCTAAAATGAAGAAACAAATATTTCAATATTCAGATGAATAGAATCAATTAGATAGAAAGGGTCATAAGCCTCTTAAGGCAGTAGATTATGTCATACCTATCACTTATCCTATCTAGACTACTGTTTTCTATAAAGAAAAATTTCAAATAAATAAACATTTAAAAAGGTAATTTATGAAAATAAAACAAATATTAATTAAATTAACATTACCGTAAAACCCAAAGTCACCGGAATGAATAACAGCCACAGCCCCCGTCTCTTTAGCAAGTGTATTCAATTGAGAGATATTTCCTGTTTAATTATTAATAAATAAGTATCAATAATGTTAACGCAAAATAAACAGATTAAGATAAAATGAAGTACATACCTCTAACATCTGCTACACAAATAATTTTACCCGCATCGGTTCCAATTATAGTTGAATTTCGCAGTAAAAGATTGGATGTATTCACCGATATTCCGTTTGGTGCACCTCGCTGTGCACTGATATGGTTCGTTGATGGTTGTTCTGATAAAGTGCCACCATAGCCTGTCGAAACTCCTATAGCAGAAATGATATTACTGCCAAGAATAATTTACATATACTGTGAATTTGAACGATGGGCTATTACCATTTGTGTACCCTTGAGAATAAGAAGGACTGCTACCATTGCCCACCCAATTATTTACACGATTATGTGTTACTGAGGTTGAAGCAGCGGGAGAATCGTAATCCTGAACTGGCATACTTTGATTATCCCAAGAATTGTTATAATTGTTGTATGACATTATAAAAAGACCTTGGATCTTTAGACTACCGTGGTAAAATTCGACCAAGGAATATAAATGACTTGTATTGAACTGTTAATTACGATTTAGCACCGCTCCAATTAAAAAAAGATTTAAAATCAAATATACAAGATGAGTAAAATCGTAGTACGACGAGTAAAACAAAAAATAAAAATCGCGAGTACGAAGAAGTTGCTAAAAGATCTCGTGAGGTATCTTCAGTTACGCAATCGTATCACGTATCATGATCAGAACTTTAAACTTAACACAGCCACAGCCAGGAAAATATTTTAACTTTAAGCCACCATGGTAAGCCTCACGAGAAAAGCAAAAAAACAAGAATGCAATAAATTTAAACCGATTATTGTCATGGCGTAACATTATAATATATCTGATTTAAATACAATATATTTGATTTATGAATATGTACGCACGATATTTTAGAACAATGTTAACAAAGCATATATTAATATATAGCATCAATTGTCTAGCATATACTGTATCGCTTTTACGTATAATTACGATAACAATCTTATACGTAGCAGATTATCACTAATACCTTATCTGTAGTTTAAATTAACTTAAATTACACAACGGGTCACACAAGTCACGGCATCAAGTATTATCGGAAAGTGTCGTAACAAAAGTTACGTATGTTAGGGCAGCACAAATTAAAAAAAGGATACGAATTAAAAAAAAAAAATAAGTGACAACAGAATTTCAAATTATACTATTCATTTCTAAAAATTCTTTGAACGCAATGTCACAATCCAAACCAGCTTCCACCAACGAGAATGGCAATCCTCTTCCACTCGTTACGGTATCAAAGGTTTATAGTTACCTTACGCTTGTTCAGGCTGGTACGGCAGTCGTTTTTACGACCTTTTTAGTTACTCATTTAAGCGCAACGGCCGTAGCTGTCATCGGCGGTATTGAACTTACTAATAAGACGATTGTTCTCGGTAGAGTGTATTACCAAAATAGATTCTTGGAACCTATTGTCGTGATTGGTTCACTTTGGGGACATGTACTCTCAGGGTTAATCAAACGAGGAATCAAACAATATTGGAAATATAAGAGACAAGATGCACGTAAATTAACCGGAGAAGTTCACGAAAAGGTTGAAAAAATCATAAATGACGAGAAAAATGAACAAGGTGTGACTGTTCGTAAAATCACGACCAAAACTACTACGACCATCACCGGATCGCATATATCAAGAGCTTTAGTATTTCTGCTTCCATATCATCGTTTAACTGGGTATCTTTTAATTCCATGTGTTTTTAGCCATGCTTATGTTCATCGTGTACTTCCAAGACGTCACTTTGGTGATTCCTCGATGATCAACGCATCATATGTTACACTCGCTCTCAAGAAATGGCCTCGTTCAGCGTATTTAGCATTTACGTTGTTGATCGGGTTAGGGGTTTACCATATTTGCAGCGGTGCACCTGTTGTATATAAGATCCTGAAAGGTTCCATACTAAAGAATGGAGATAAACAAGCTTCAGAAGTAACAAAGAAACGACTTAAGATCATCAGAAATGGGGTGATCGTTTCTTCGATTGGATTATTGGCAACCGGACTGCTCGTTATTGGAGGGAAATTGAGACGTGAAAATATTAAAATTCCTTTCCGTTCGGAATATTTGAAGGTTTATGGACGTGTTTATCCACAAAGTTGGGTGAGATACTAGAAAAGCATACAATTCTTTTGATATTTAAGTTTTATTTTCTTCCTTATTCAATCTGCATTATGTATTACTTTTTAATATTACACTATTTTTTTGAATGGTATTTGATAATTTTTTTCTTGAGGAAATGCGATAATAAATGCGATAGTTATTAGTAAATTGCAGCTATAGTTAATTACAATCACATCGATTCATAATATGTTTAATAATTCTTTCTAAATATTACTTTTAGAAAAACTTTCGATGGACACTATTGATATAAAAAATAAAATAATAAATAATAATAAAAAAAATAAAATAAAATAAACTAATATCTCGCCTAATTCGTCGACTGCAAACTGTCCATTGTATTATTAACCTTATCATTGTTAATATAAAAACGGTTTAGTAGATTATAATAACAATACGTAAGACAATGTACAATTACCAAATCAGCGAAATAGATCTTCATCCGGATTGATGATTTACAACTTTCGCCGAAATAGTACAGTGAGAAAATGGGAAAAAAAATTGTTGGGACGCCTGCAGAAAGACAAGCCACATTATTTACGCCTAGAAACTTTTTAAAGTGTAAATGACATCAAGAGAATAAAATTCGTATGCGCTCAAAATCAAAAATGAAACAATATCAAATAGGATTTTCCTGAATGTTAATTGTTCCCCCAGTCTCTGGTAAGAGTTGCAGACAGTATAATTGAATGGAATTCAGTAATTGTCAAACAGAAAAATTAAGTAGTCACATGATCTTGTCTATTGGTGAATCATTAATAGTTATAACTATAGAACTGTTAACAGTATTAGATATTAGAACTGTTAACAACTGTTAACAGTATTAAATATTAGAACCAAGTTAACTCAGGGCGAGGCTTAAGATTAGTAAAGTATTGTGCAGTATGTGTAATTACCTTCTCGACAATTTTTATTAATGTTCGGATAAAGTTTTGATCTTCGTTGTTTAATATTTCCGTATTTCCCGTTTCTTGTATGTTAATCATGTGACTACTATTTAGCAATCTTTCTATTCTCGGTTAAGTACAAAAATAACAGCAGATCATTTCACATCACCTGCAGTTCTTCATCCAATCCAATCTTGAGCGAAGTAATGACAGTTAACTGTTAACTGATCTTTCAATACTACCGGTATTATTCTATTCATTTTTATTTATTTGGTTTTTTTTTTTTTTTTTTCCTACACTCCGATTATTATTTCTTAATTCTACTTCGAGCGGCGGCGGTTTAGAAAAAAAAAAAAAAAAAAAAAATTATTATTATTAATAAAATCCGTTGCATAAGTATCTAACTCTTTTCATTCTTTTATTTTTCTTTTTTGATTAAATATTATTATATTCCTACCGTTTTCCTACCTTTTATACAACATTATGAAGGTAAAATAGAACTTTCATATTTACATATAAAATAATTGGATTTGAAAGAATAATTCAAGAACTTTAAGCGAATTACATAATTATTTTTTTTGAGAAACTGAAATAAAATTATAAAAAGCCTTTGGAACCTAGGGTTGCCATATATGACTTCAAACCTTTTCAAGCAAGACATCATAGGCGACAACGAGTTTTCACAATTACTTAAAGATTTTACTTCTGTCACTGGTTCCGTTTTGGATAATACTACTTTATATAACGCTGCTGCAACAGCGACTCAACAACTACATTCTACACCTTTCGATATGTCCCCTCTCCTAACCTCTACTCAAAAGGAGAGTGGGAACACCAGAGATTACGTTAACGATATTGTTTCTTCTTCTGCTTATCCGCCACCTGCTCAAGATCCACAAAGAGTTTTACGTCAAATGATGAGTTTATGTAAACATATTTATTCAAGGGGTTTGATCGAAGGGAGCGGAAGTGATGTTACCATTAAAGCTTTCGATAAAGATTATCATTTACATAGAATAATTCTTTATCAAAACACTTATTTTTCAGTTTTATTGGAAGGTCCTTGGAAAGAAAATGGTGCAAAAGATATAGAGTTACGATTTGATGATAAAAATATCACTCGTGAAGCTTTTGAGATAGCTTTGGGTCGGTTATATGGCAGACTGGATGAAGTCATTTTACCTTCTCAAGTATTAAGTCTCCTTGCAACCGCTTCTTTTCTTGATTTACAGGATTTATGTGAAATGTGTGTGGATGTTATATTAAGAGATATAAAAGATGATACTGTGGTTACTTATCTTACTTTTGCTACCACCCATTTTTATGGTTCTCATTCTGAAAAAATCACAGAAGCTTGCTTCACTTATCTATGTAGAGAAGGTTATGATAGTTTAACCCTTCAATCCGCCTTTTTATCCTTACCCGCTGAGTGGTTAAAGAGAGTAATAGAAAGTGATGCTTTTTGGGTTGCCGGTGAATATGAGAGATATTTATTTGCTCGTGATATAGTTAGTAGGAGAAGGAAAATTTTTGTTGAACGAAAGAGAAGAAGTGTGGTAGCTTCATTGTCAAATGTTGAAATTTCTGATTTACATAATTTACCGACTGAAAGTTCGGCTCCAATTTCTCCAACAACTCCTACTTCTCCGGCTGGAAACAGACGATTGATAGATACTTACTCTTATCATACTAGACGTTCCGCTTCTGTTAGTACCATAAGTTCGGTGTGTTCTGCGACGTCTTCGTCTATACAGGCGGAGAGTGATGAATCTATTTACAACGCTATATTTACCTATGCAATTTACTATAGTCACATGACTTTTGAAGAATTAAATTTTATATTACATGATTGTGATCCTACCACCGGTGTTCCATTCTCTCCTGACTATGTAGTGAAAGATGCTTTATGGCAGCAGATTGATCTTCGTAACAAAATTGAGAATGCTACAGAGACTGATGTTACATTAGGAATTTCTTCTTCTGAAATATTAACAAGTTCAACGGGTGTACATTTTGAAATTCCTTCAGATGATACCACTCATATAGGTGAAGCACTTACTGGATTAGAAGACATGATTGGAGGTGGAACAAAAGCAATGAAAGATGGTGAAGGTAGAGGAAGTGTAGAGTATTCTCTGTTTGCTCCTTTTAGATTTAGCGTTGAATTTGCGGACGTTGCTAAATTGAAAGAAAAACAGAGAGTATATTCTGGAACAAAATTTTATGCCGGGTACGTATAATATGTCTAGTGTATATGTTTAGTATATATTTAATTTTTTTTAATATTTATATTTTAACTTTTCTATTTTTGTAATTGAATTAATTTCTCAATTTTTGTGATTTTTAATATAGATCTAATTGGAACATGTATATCCAAAAAATAAAAACTCCTCGTAAAGGAATACAACTTGGTGTATATTTGCACCGTCATTCAATGCCAGATCCTGCATCACCTTGTGGTAACAATAATAGCTCCTCTTCATTGATGAACGTATCACCCCTAAACAAAAGTCCTACGTCTTCCCCTTCAGATGATCGATTTTCTGCATCAACTCGTCAAACTATATTAATGAAGAATAATGGTGAGAAAAGCTTTTCGAGATATGCCGACAAAAGGAAAACTGTTAGAACATGGTTTAAGATATTTTGCCCGTCAAGAGGCCCTAGTCACGTGTTGACACAATTTCAGAGTAGTCCAGATAATTTTGCACTAATGCAAAGTTGGGTTAGTAATTAATTAATTTAATAATATATTAATTATTCAATCAGTTATGATTCTGTAATTCAACTTTTCATTTCATTATTTCAGGGTTGGCGAAGTTCAAGTCTTTGTCAAGATGATTATCTCTTGGATGTTCGTGACTATGACACTTCTGCTTCAGCTATTTCAAACTCTTCATCAACTTTAAAGTTTTCTGTGGTAATGGGACACGTGTGAAACTTATTTTTTCAATATCTAGAGCAAAATGGCTTATATATTTATTGGTTTAATTTACATTTTTGAATATACTGCAAATGTTTTTTTTTCTTCTTTTATTCCAAGGAACTTTGGTGATTATTTGGCTTACAATAGGCCTCTTAAATATTAGGAAAGTGTTTGCATATTTTGCTTCTTTAATTGTATAATAGATTTTTGTTTATCAATTCTGGTAATTCTATTTCATTGTTGTTTAGAGAGTGAACGTTTATTTTACAGAAAAATGAATAATTAATGTTGGTGTTCTATAGAAAATATTTTTCCATTTACAGTGTTCTTTATTAACTTAAATTTGCTGCTTTAAAAATGTATTTGAACAATTGGCTGGAAGACTTTGTTATGATAAATTACATTAATGTTAAGTGTACAACAAGAAACTATCCATTATTTATTACGTCATCGAAAAATTACGTCATTAATATATCCTCCATTGAACTCATTCAATTTATTACAAATATCATTATGCATTCAATAATCCATACAGAATTTTGTTCGTGTAAACATTTTTATACCTTGTTCAGATCTGGCCAATTTTAATAACAATCTTAATAATATATTTGTGATTATTCTTTAATTTTTATTATGTAGTATGATATAAGAATTTGTTTTAATTTGTCCACTAATCTATTTGTACATCAAGTATAAGCACAAGTATAAATATTATCCTTAATTTCTTGTTACAAATTTCAATTTAATATAACACGACCTCTTAAATCTAATAGAAAAAATTGAGTAAAAATTAAAGACGGAAAAATCAAATTTTGATTTGCATGATACGTACAGTGTTGGTCGATAACCTAAGCAATATATGACTTTTGTAATATAATCATACGACTTTTCATATTAAATGCTATTTAAAAAATTTTTTTACTATTGTTCTTACTATATTAAAAAATTAAAGTCATATCAACCTTCGTTATGACCAAATAACCTAGTTCTCTTGGAGAATATAAAGCAAAAGAAGATAAAAAAGGCTATGACAGGCCATAAAGGTCATATAGGTCAACTGGCATGATATGTAACTTTGTTACACGAATCTCAATTCTAAAGGCACTTAAAAACTCGGTGCATTTCACATACGTACGTACGCATATGATTTATACTGTAAGGGGGTACATTAAATGGAAATAGTCACATTGGAAGAGACTCAGCTTTGACGTTAGTAGCTCACCCACAAAAAATTTTCCGGTCATGTGACTTTTTATGGCACTAGCCAATTATATTTCGAGATC